TCTGTTTTGGATGGATTTAATGTGTGTATATTTGCCTATGGTCAAACTGGTTCAGGGAAAACATATACCATGGTATGTCAAAATCTTTATCTGCCTTTACAAAACTTGCACTTCTTCTTTCTTATTAAAAGACATTGTTATGCTAATGACAGAGTGGGCCTAGTGCATCATCAAGGGGGGATTGGGGTGTCAATTATCGAGCCCTAAATGACCTTTTTCAAATTGCACAAATCAGAACAGCTACTGTTATATATGAAGTTGCCGTGCAAATGGTTGAAATATATAATGAGCAAGTTCGTGATCTACTTTCAAGTGATGGACCTCAAAAAAGATATCCTTCCCATATGGTTTCTTTGTAGTTCTGCCATGATGTTTTCATCTGGGATTTTATGAGACATATATCTGGACAGTATGCTTCTTTACAGTTTGCACTTTATATTTTTTTTATTGAAATAAAATGGACATGTTTTCTCTTGACTTGCACACACTTGGGATTTGGAATACTGCCCAACCAAATGGGTTAGCTGTGCCTGATGCAAGCATGCATCCTGTCAAATCGACCTCAGACGTGCTAGAATTGATGAGTATTGGCTTAACTAACCGGGCTGTAGGTGCCACGGCTTTGAATGAAAGAAGCAGCCGATCTCATAGGTACACTCTTTGTTTTTAGTGCCTCTGTATTTGATAAAATAGTATTTGAAATCTAATCACAAGGTTCTTCTGCGTTACTCATGCAGTGTTTTAACTGTTCACGTGCGAGGAACCGACTTGGAAAATGATGCTGTTCTGCGTGGTAGTCTCCATCTGGTAGATCTCGCTGGAAGTGAAAGAGTGGACCGATCGGAGGCAACGGGAGATAGGCTTAAAGAGGCTCAACATATCAATAAATCGCTTTCAGCACTTGGAGATGTTATCTTTGCTCTCGCACAAAAGAGCCCTCATGTACCATATAGGAATAGCAAATTGACGCAAGTTCTGCAGAGTTCTTTAGGTACATGTAATATAATCTTCTGAGTGTTTCACATTTTAGTTTTGTCACTTCTACATATAGAATTACCCGTGTCAATGTGAGGGTTGCAGGAAGATTCATGTATGTCAATGTATAACGAAGAGGGAACTATAGCATCCGTTAAGATTTTTCTTTCCCATAGTTTATGAAGTTTACTTTGTAGTTCTTGCTAACTGCTTCTTCAATCTTTCTTTCACCCAGGTGGTCAAGCCAAGACTCTCATGTTTGTCCAACTCAATCCTGATGTTGATTCTTATTCCGAGACTGTAAGTACTCTCAAGTTTGCGGAGAGGGTATCTGGTGTTGAGCTGGGGGCTGCTAAGAGCAACAAAGAGGGGAGAGAAATCAGGGAACTAATGGAACAGGTATTAGCTATAGTTGTTACCAAGTTGTTTTGTAGTTTGTTCTCCAACCTAAGATCTTATCTTTTCCCTGTCCATATCTGTTCCCGAGGGCATATCTGTAGTGGCATAGCAACTCGGAGAAACTCATTCTCATTTTTTCCCAAAAGGAAAAGCACAGGGAAAACGTATTTGCGAGTACGGAAAATCTGGATTTTTACGTGATGAAATTGGAGAACGGATGTAGATGGCATAGTTGCTGTCATCTGCCATTCTAAATAAGTTTAAAAGCAGTGCAATGATTCTTGAATGAGATGTCATAGTTGTTATTGCTAGTTTTATGTGCATACTCAGTTTATGTTTGGTGCTATTGGATGGAGGGCGTTTGAAATGTAATGAATTTGTTTATGTAGGAAATTTTTGTTTCATCGGAGCTAGGAGACCTTGTGCAAAATGCAAATTGTAAAATGTCGAAACTTTCGTTGGAGTATGACAGACAGACAAGACTACCTGTTAGATGAAATGTTCATGCAAGCTAGAATGGAGTTTACATCTTTGCGGATGAGAACATTGTTGGTTGCTGGTTTTAATTGTAAAATGTCGAAACTTTCGTTGGAGTATGACAGAAAGACAAGACTACCTGTTAGATGAAATGTTCATGCAAGCTAGAATGGAGTTTACATCTTTGCGGATGAGAACATTGTTGGTTGCTGGTTTTTTTTGATAATTAGTAGTTCAAGCCTCTAAGGAACTTTTTCTCTGTTTCAACTAGGAGAAACAAACCGATACTGGATTTTTCTTTCTTGTAAATCTTGCTCTTGTTTGATTATAGCAGGAGCAGGACCTCGTCTAAGATTTTTGTAATATTTCACGCTATAACCAGTTTTTTTTAAGATTCTTATATACTGATCAAGAGACAGGGTGTGATTTTTATGGCAACAGACTATCGCATGAAGTTTTATGTTTTGCTGCAACTTTTTCTGGTATATCCTGCGAGTAGGTTTTCCATTTTCTGATTTGATCTTTAATCCTGCAGGTTGGTTTTCTTAAGGACATAATTAGCAAGAAGGATGAGGAGATTCAACGATTGCAGTCCCTCAAAACTAATGTCAGTGCTGAGAAGCGTAGTTTGACCTCACTGAGATATGGTTCCTCCTCTCCCAGACGACATTCAGTAGGTACTCCTCAACATGTTCGGAAAACGTCAAGTGGAAAACTCTCAGGCTTAAGTGATAAAGCAGCTTCTGATGGGGACAATTGTTCAGAGTATAGTGATAGGCATTCCGAAGCTGGTTCACAGCAGTCAGTGGATGATTTTAAACATCACAAGGAATTTTACCAGCCATCTAAGCTTGCTGATGGGCCTGTAGATCAGAGTGCTACCGATGATGTGCAGCTCTTGGGATTGGAAGATGCAGATTTAGAGGAGAGATTGAGTGATATATCTGATGGTGACCTTTCAATGGGCACAGAAACTGATGGTTCCATTAGCAGTGTTGTTGAGTATACTCTCTTTCCTGAACCTCCGAAACAGCCTGAGAAATCTGAAAACATTGAGAAGTAAGTGATTTTCAGTTGAGGTTTTTGCAATCTCTTATTTCAGTAGAAAATGGTTTACCCAATGTGCATGCCTTCCATTTATGGTTATCATATGATCGCGTTTACTAAATCAGCAGCAGATGTTTGTGTTTTTAGTTTATGCTGGAATTAGCTGTTTCTTTACAGAGAGAATAAAGGCCCTCGGGGGAAAGTACTAGAAAAGCCAATGCTGCTTACTGGTCCCAAGTGTTACTACTAGCAATTTTCTCATGAAATGTGTTACTATGGAGTTAATATTCATGCTCTAAAAGCAAGTTTACGAGCTGTTTATATATCCCTATGCATGATATTGTTCTGGCTAATGATCTCTTTTATGCCTTCCCTTGATGTGTTGGATCCATTGAATGCAGGTCAGCTGTTCCCTCTAAACTGCCAAAGCCCCCACAAAAGTTGTTGCAGTCAAAACCATCTCGTTTGACCCGAAGTGCTACCAAAATCCCATCAAGTATGTCGGCTTGGCAATTCATGTTTAGTTTGCTTTTCCACTGCTTGGAGGAAAGATTTATCAAGCGTGACATTGTGGTTGCTGCTGTTACATTGCTCATTGATATAAACTATATGTTCCTGATTGTTGCAGCTTCCAGGAGAAGCATCTCCACCCCTGGTGGCTCCTCCTCGGCGAAGCCCCTGAAAAAATGGCAGTGAATATGACGGGAGTGGAATGGCAAAAGAGAACAACTTCCAATGTTCTAACGGTCATTTCCAGTTCTCGTTAGTGCCATGTCTTATAGAATGTTTTAGGCCTTCGACTGTATGACTTAGTTGTGTTCATAGCACCCTGATCTCCGCCTTGTAAGATGTAGTTCAAGGCGCTTAGTTTGTAATATAATCCCTCAATTAACTTAGTTCTATTGATTGCTGAGGTCCTCTACATTCTTATTCCAGCAAATTTGGCTCTGGCATCTGAAATGTGATCCTCTAATTGATCTTAATTCCAGGATTGCTTAATGCATTATTAATCGTCTCTGTGCATTGCAATTTCTTGTGGGAATAGTAAAAAGGGTAACGATTGATCTGTGCGGAACTTGGTTATTTCTTGTTTGGTAATCTGACATCCCACCATTTGTTTCAGTTACTTACTATCGAAGTCAAAAGTAGTGCAATTCTAGCATGCCGGGGCAATATATAGGATTTGAATTCGTGGCCAAGTTTACATGGGTTTTAACTTAGGTCCTCTTTCTTTTTTCGGAGGGGAAGAAAATACCTATCAAAGCGAAAGAAATACTTCTTGAAACTATTGAAGGTACGGAAAATTATATATAAAATCATGTGTCGATGTGTCTATGTTTTGAAATACAAGTCAAATTGTCACAATCCTAAGGAGTTCAAAAGGTAAAAAGTCAATAATAGAGGTCATCCAAACTCATATAGAAGTTACCAATACACGAATACTAATAATGATTATTTCACCGTGTATGAGTTATTAGCCACGCGGGAATATTACTAGTTGCACAAATAAGGTACTGATTATACAAAGCTTGTTACTTATCTCCATTAGAATTTACAAATCGCACCGACAAATTACTAATCACTAGGTGCTCTCCCTTTTGTAGTAGTTACAAATCGTACTTTTCTAAGATTACTTAAAATTATCTGCGGAATTGAGCAACGAGGTCTGGGTGGTGTAGTCGGTTATCACGCTAGTCTCACACACTAGAGGTCCCCGGTTCGAACCCGGGCTCAGACAATCTCCTCTTCCCTTTTTCATACATCCTCGTTTGCCTTTTTAATTTTCATATATTTATTTTCCCTTTTTTGGCAACTGTTCTTGGCAACTTTCTGGCTATCCCCAAAAGAAGAAAAGAGAAAAAAACACATTTGCATCTGTCGGACCAAAAAATAAAACATTCGGCCGGGATTCGCTAGCTCAATTAGAAATCAAAATGTTCATCATGCCCAGCACGCACCACAAAGTTCTCATCCCCAGTTCGTGGGCTTTCGTTTTCCGTACAAGCCCAATATCTCACAAGCAAAGCCGGAGCCCAAGACCAAGCCCAATAGCACAGCCCATCCAAATTTCAGGGCATAAAACGACCTCATTTCGCTCCCCCCTTTGTCTCTCTCTCTCTGTCCCGGAGGAAGCAACCGCGTCTGTCGCAGAAAGCAGAGAGACTCGCCCTCCAAACCTCGCGCTTGCAGCGGTGAACTGCGGCTTCCTTCTCCGTTCCTGTAAGCTCCTCCTCCTCCTCCTCTTCTTCTTCTTCTTCTTCTGTTACCGTGCTCTGTGGCGTCTGCACATGGCGACTGGGTGACGCCCATCGTCCCTAGCTTCTAGTTTCTCTCGCCGCGCCTTCGAACTGCGTGAAGCTGCTGGTCTTTTCCTGTTTAATTCTTCGGATTGTTTCCTCGCGGTGTCCGGTTCTGATACCGTCTCTGTTCATGGAATTCCGTTTTGTTCGCGTGAAAGGGGTCGCTTCTCTGCTCGGGGTGTGTCGGGTAGTCTTTTTGTCGAAAAGAAGTTGGCTTGGCTTGTGTCCGGCAACATGATCAGTCGCCGTGGTAGATAGGGCGTTGCGAAATGGCTGCGCGCGCAGTTTCTTTATTCCAAATTGGATGGTTATTTGTTAGGTCGTTGCTCGCTAGAGCTTGAAATTTTAGTCTGAATGCGTGGATTCGTTTAAAGGGTTCGTCTACTCAGGTGAGGCGCATCGATGAATCTGTCGTATCGGTGTAGCGGCGCCGCGAAATTGTTGTTTTACTTTTCCATAAGTTGGATGGGTGATCAGTATTTGGAGACTCTCGATCTGGATCGGTTCCGTCTCTAGTTCTGCTGTGCCGTCGCTTGTTTGCGGTAGACATGGATCAGTCATTGTCATTCTCTGTGCTGCTTTTGTGTGGTGCAGATGGCTCGATGGGATGAGATTTTATCCCTCCCCGTGCAGAATCCTCCGTCGTTGGAGTTCTCGGCTGCGGATTTGGTGTGGTCCAAGGTGGAAGGTTGGCGCGACAATATAGATAGAGTGGCTTTGATCCCGTATGCTAGAGTTGATGATTTCGTGAGGGGCGAGTCTTCGAACAAAGACTGTCCGACGAGGTTTCATGTCGAAGCTCGGAGGAAAAGACCTCTCGAGATGGCTTATAAACCTAAGGTCGATGGCATTCTTGAATACATACTGTAAGTTGTTACCTTTCTCCAATTTTCATCACTAACAGTGTCTTGTTGGAAGTCACATAATTGCTGGTGTTGCTTCCTGCCGTAGATGAGGCAATGCTGCAGGTTCGCTGATTGATTTTGTTGTAGGTATTGGTGTTCCTTTGGTCCTGATGACCACAGGAAGGGTGGGATCGTGCGGCCTAGTAGGACTAATTATGTCCCCAAGAAAAATAATGCTGGTCGACCTAATACAAAGAGGGGCTGCACCTGTCACTTTATTGTGAAACGCTTAATTGCTGAACCATCGGTGGCACTTATCATTTATAATCAGGATAAACATGTAGATAAGAAAGGTCTTCCCTGCCACGGCCCCCAGGACAAGAAGGCAGCTGGTACTCGTGCCATGTTTGCCCCTTATATCTCAGAGGACCTTCGCCTTCGAGTCTTGTCTCTATTATATGTGGGCGTATCAGTGGAGACAATAATGCAGAGACACAATGAATCTGTGGAGAGACAAGGGGGCCCTACTAACCGTGATGACCTTTTGACCCACAGATATGTTCGTAGACAGGAGAGAAGCATTAGACGCTCTACGTATGAGCTGGATGCAGATGATATAATCAGCATTGACATGTGGGTGGAAAGTCACCAGAGCCACGTTTTTTTTTATGAGGAGTTCTCTGATTCTGAACCATTCACTTTGGGCATTCAAACGGAGTGGCAGTTACAGCAAATGATTCGGTTTGGCAATCGCAGCCTTGTGGCTTCTGATTCAAGATTTGGAACCAACAAATTGAAGGTCTAAGTCTACCTTGAGTAACATATCTATCTTTGTGATAGCAATCATTAAGTATGAACTTGCCTGCTAAGTTAGCTGACTTTTCTCTGTTATGATGTCCAATAGTATCCTATTCACAGTCTTCTCGTCTTCGATTCTGACAACAAGGCCATTCCTGTGGCATGGATAATAGCACCAGCATATGGAAGCATGGATACTCATAGATGGATGAGGGCGCTGTATAATAGAGTTTGTACTAAAGATCCTTCGTGGAAGTTGGCAGGGTTTATTGTTGATGATCCTCTAGCTGATGTCCTCGCTATCAGGTAGAGTGCTCTCATTCATCCAACCGAATCAGATTTTGATCTAGTCATGTAAGTCTGGATCATTCTTAGTTGAATAATTCTCTTTAGCTGTGTTTCTGTGTCAAGGTTTTGGGATCCACTAATTTCAGGCTAAGCGCAGAGAGGACTCAAAACTTGGATGGTTGCTAAATGAAACTAATCAACTGTTTTGAACTTTCGGATATTCCTCGTAGACATTCTTTTCTTCTAGGATTTTCATTGATATCTTGCGATTTCAAAACTTGGAAATGTACGATGGTTGGGAATGTCGAAGATGAGTCATTTGAGACTGGTGTCTACTTTAGATTATAAACCATAGTTACCGCCCTTTGTTCCTTGGGAATTGTATTTCAAGTTGCAGGGCTTGAGTTCTTGTTGCCATTATTCATTGTAGTGATAACAAGGAGACATAAGGAATTGGATTTGATCCGTAGGTGGATTCCTTGATTATTCTGGTGCTTATGACTGTAATTAAGATATATGTTCATTTTTGGCTAATATTGGATCTAACATGGCTATTTGTTGGAATATCTACTGTCTGCCCATGAACCATACTTTAACACATATATTTGATCTGTCAGTGCAGTTAATTGTTCATTTGCTGCTGATATTGGTTTGAGCATGCTTATTTATTGGACTATCCTCTGTATTGATTGGCTGCGATGAAGCACGATTTCAGCATGCCAATTTGATTTTACAGTGCATAATATCAGGCTAGCTGCTGCACTTGAGTGGCATTTGCACCTTTAGATAATCTGCCCTTGGAGACTTGGATGGATGACTGCATCTTTTGATATGTTGCAATAGTTCTTGCCACTATAGACTGATGTGTGGGTGCTGAGTTCCGCAATCCTTCTTATGAAGCATATTTGCATGAATTGAAGTTCTACATATCTTCTTTTTTCTTTTGCATACAGGGATGTGTTTCAGTGCTCTGTTCTACTTTGCTTCTGGCGGTTACGTCATGCATGGCACAAGAACTTAGTCAAGAGATGTCAGGAGACTGCAATGCGCGTGGAGATGGCAAGACAACTTGGACAGGCAGTAGACAATATCTGCAGAGGAAATGGAAACATGAATTTGTTTGAAGGTTTCATGGATGATTTTGTTGAGGCGCACCACTTCATGGATTATTTTAAGGCAGTCTGGTACCCCCGTATAGGTTGGTCTCTGTAACTATGTGTATTTGGTACCCACGTAAGTTTCTTTGTTGGCTCTCATCTTCCAATTGATTTCTCACAATTGGAAGTAGTCGAGTAAGGCTTTCTATATACTTTCTATAGGGACAATAGATGATGGAAATTGTATTGGTTCCTTGATGCATTTTGTATTTGATCGCTCAGAGATTTTTTTCTTTTTCTTTTTGAACTGTTTTATGTTTCAGAGTCTCTCCTTTGTTTTCTCAAGAGAAAATGATCAGATATTTTCTTCTTTGTATGTAGGGTCATGGACAGCAGCGCTGAAAAATCTTCCACTCGCGAGTCAGGAGACTTGTGCAGCAATGGAGTTTTACCACAACCAATTAAGACTCAGATTACTGAATGAGGATAACACCAGCGCTTATCAACGGGCTGATTGGTTGGTTGACAAGTTGGGTACGACAGTGCATGCTTTCTTCTGGCTTGATGAGTACTCAGAAAAGGAGGATTTTTCACGGTACCGTAAAGATGAATGGGCCAGTGGCTTAACATCTTGGCGCAATGCATTAAAAATTCCCAATTCTGATGTTACGCTAGAAGGGAAATGTGCAAAAGTTACTAGCCAGACTCATCGAGACAAAGTTCACATTGTCTGGAATCCAGGTTCAGTGTTAAGTTTATGCGATTGTAAGTGGGCAGACGTGGGTTACCTGTGTGAACATGTCTTCAAAGTAATAACGGTCTGTCGTGAACAAGGTTCTGCTTTGCCATCTATCAGTCTATTTCAGTACAAGCGGGCATTGCTTGACATGTTACATTGCCCTCCTCATGATTCATTAGTACGGGATCATGCTATTTCTTTGGCAGTCTTTATACAGAAGCAGTTGAGTTCACTAATTGATGAAGGAAGTAGCAATATCACTGACAAGCCACAAAGCATCAGAGTTGTTTCTGAAAATCAAGGCGGTGATTTGGTTGAGGAAAGAAATTGCTTAAATGAGAACTCATTATCTTCTTCTGATGGGCATAATTGTGTGGATATGTCAGAGACTCCCGGTCGCATCGCGGAAAACTTGGGCGGTCATCTAACTGATATGGCAGTCAAGCCAAATGGATTTTGTAATGAAACTAGTAAGGAAAATTGTTGTAAGATGGATGTTGATGGGCCATCTACTTGTAGCTCAACACCTAGATTACTCCACGTCGAAGAGGCTGCATCTAATGGTTTCCTCCTTGAGAATGGGGAGAGAGATTCCATTAGTAAAACATCAGATGTGGTAAATGCTCCATCTCTGGGTGGCAATGACCTCGCTGATTTGAAGGGTTAGATCATCGAATTAGGTTGGATTGAGACAGCTAAGAAGAGAATGGAGTCCCATTTGAAGTTGCCGTTTGTCAACTGGGTAAGCTGCCTTTTCTTAAGTTTTGGCATAGATTCAATGGTCTTTGAGTTTTAAATCTCTTACCCTTCACGTGCCCTGTTGTTTGTCTGACTAGCAAAAGATTAGTATGGAGTGTCAACTGAACTACTTTATTATCTCCATCCATGTTTTAATAGTATGAATGCCTATAAGATAGTGAATAAGCTCAAATTCTAAGGCCATGTTGAAAAGGTGCAATCACCAAACTCTTAGCGACGGCTCATTTGCTAGTACTTCTCCTCTATACAGGAAGCAGTCATAATTTCAGTTTTAGCACTTGAGAGAGATGCAATTATGCAATTAGCAGTCATAAATGCCTCAGAACCAAAGGAATCAAATCCTCTAGGAATAGAGAAATTGAAGCTGCCAACTTTGAGGCGCAAATTACGGTCAAATTGGAATCTCTTTCTTGGCCCATGCCCAAGGGTCCATAGATCAGGTACCCAATTGCTGCATATCCTAATATTGGTTTAATCACATGACGACAACTACTTGTGCTTTGAACTCGAAGCGGTGTCGATTTTCTTGATTCCAGGCTAAAGGATCTGTGGCGCTAAAAGAGAACTTGACGAATGAGTCTGGGCAATAGAGAGCAGTCTCTTTTTCCTGTCAACCAGTGAGCGACGCATCTCTAGTTGCGGTTGACGAGATATAAGCCTGGGGAAATCCCCTCTTGTAGCTTGTGCAGATTGTTTTTCATTGTTGATGTACCACTTGTATGACATTTTCTGTACTCACAGACATCTTTCACGTGTTATGTTCACCTGAAAAATGTGAAGAAAAAAACAATGCTGCAGACAACCTGAGTGTCTGATGGTTTCTCTGTCCTGAGCTATATACACTATGGCATATTGGCCCAAAAAAATGGAGTCTTTGTTGTCTTTTTGTTTGGGAAATGACAGGACATAAGCTATATTTGTATCTTATCCAAGAAGATCCACTTGTGCTATGTTTGGGAGCAACTTAAAGAAGGGCATGGATGTGGATAATTGCATGACTATGATTGCAACATGGAGCCAAATGGCAGTGTTTGGAAAAGTTCCAATCGACAGTTATGCCTCGTGAATAATTATTGATGCCAGTTTGACTTTTATTGGTCTTACTAATATTATGAAATATTCTCTTGCTGATGATTATTTTGGAGTTCAAGTTTAAATTTCAAAATGCCCCCCAAGTGAACGCGAAATGTCAAAATATCCCTAAATTAGATCTTGTCTCGGAATATCCCTAGAGTATACACAAAATCTTACAATGCTCTCTAAAGTGGAAATTTCTCGAATTCGCCACAAGTGCATATCTAAATTTTGGAATAGACCCAAAGTCTCAAGATGGTATAGTGACACTTTTCAAATTTTAATATCGTTTCCTAACCTTATTTGTCACACTTTACATCTATCTTAATCTTAACTTTAAAAAAAAGTTTACTAGATGCTACTGTTACTGTCATGCTGGATATTTGATCATAACTAAAAAAAAAGAACAAGAAAAGATGATTATCAAGTAGTATTATTAAGATCAGACAGAAATAAGTAGCCTTATTATATGAAGATACCCCTTCTTTTTTGGTCGGTACCTGAAGATATTTCGACCATGTAAAAAGTTTGAACCGAACTAAGGGAGGGCGACGGGTCAAATTCCTACTCCAGAATCGACAACAATGAATTTCATCCCCATTAAGAATTTCGTTAAATGACGGCACTTTTTAAACGATCAAAACAAAGGAAAACGCTGCAATTTTCAGTAAAATCATATCGACCCGCGTAATCACACTACGAAAAATTCGAATCTCTTCACATATTCGAGCGCATCAGGACAAAGCGTTTCGGGAGAGGCACTCGTGCGAGGGACTAAAAAAAGTTTTTGCATCGGGTCAGATTGGGAGAGAGCCTTTTCACCCTCGTTTTCTGAGCGAGAAAGGAGGCGAGGGGAAAGAAACACTCACTCAACAGTCAACACAAGTTAAGGACACCAGAAACACCAGGGCAGAAATGATAAAGGAGAGGAAGAATGACAAGAGCCCAAAAAAAAAGAAAAAAAAGAAAGAAAAGGAAAGAAAGAAAAGAAAAGAAAGTGGACTAACTTTCCATTCCAAATTGCTCTTTTTTGACCAAATCGAGAAACGAGGAATCAATTCCCAAATCCAATCAATCACTCCCACCCCCCAATCCCCCCACGCCCTCCTCCTTCCTCCCCCAAACCACCACTCTCTCTCTCTCTCTCTGTATATACTGCTGCTGCTGCTGCTGCCGCTGCTGCGTCTTCTTCCTGGCGCGATCTCCTGCTTTTTGAATCGCCACCCACGACGGCGACGACGGACCTTCTGTTGACTCCGGAGCTGAGTTGACCGGGAAGGTATGTACTATGTATCGGTGCTGCTTCGATCGTGGGGCCCCGGGGGGGGGGGGGGGGGAGTTCGCACCGCGCGAGAAATGGGAGCCTCCGGCTGCGCGAATCTGAAGTTCTTTTCCTTCTGTAGCTGTAACCGTGTTGGCGGCGGCGGCGGCCGTAGATTGTTCGATCGAGAGCCCAGCCAGCCGTGCCCCGCGCGGGGACGGGAGATTGGGCATTCCGAATCTAATCTCTTTTGCTGCGTCTCTGCGTGTTTGTTTTTGTTAGATGCGCGTGGCATTGCTGTGGACTGGTTCAGCTTCGGAGGCGGCGGTTGAAGCTGGAGCTCTTGCTGGCGGGGAGGAGGACGAGAGCGATGCTGCTGTCGTCTGAGGTTCTCGTTCATTGAGCCGCCGGGGGGAGGGACGACTCGGGAAGTTTTGAGCTTCTTCGGAGATTCGATACTTGTTCGTGTTCACTGTTGACGTTCTTTTGGTTGCGAGCTTGCGATGGGGTGCGAATGCTCCAAGTTCCTGTTTTGTTGCTATGATTCGGTGCAGAACGGGCAGATGCCGGAGGCTGACGTCGCCGGTAGTTTCTTCTGGCCTCTTTTTGATTTTTGCACAAAATGAGTTGTCGGCTACGTATCTGGAGTGATGGGTGCAATGGTGCCGCCTAGAAAAATCGTTCGTTTGTTTAACTTTTTAGTCGTGTAGTTCTGTTTCTGTGTAAGTGACTGATTCTGACGTAGAGTCTATGCTGTTGCAGATAATGAGAACGATACCCAAGTCTGTGGCCTGCCCGCGTTTCGGGAGTACACGTACGATCAAATTAAGATGGCCACATCTGGATTCGCTGTGGAGAACATTGTTTCTGAACATGGCGAGAAGGCACCCAATGTTGTCTACAAAGGCAAGTTGGACAATCAAATGCGAATTGCTGTGAAGCGCTTTAACAGGTCAGCTTGGCCAGATGCACGACAGTTTATGGTGAGCATACACTCTTACAGCCATTGTCAATGAACAATCCTGCCATACTTGTTTTGGCATCTTTTCCCAAAGGGCAACCTAAATTTCCTCTTTTTGACTTCTTCTATGGACATTCCGCTGTGTTGTTTCAAAGTCTGCTGGTTTGGAGCTTCGACAGCGTTTAGTGGTGGTAGAACACTGTGATTGTCTTGATTTGAATTTATTTGGATGAAAGTTGTCTTGCTCAATGGTAAATGCGTTCACTGACTCTTCTGATCAGTTTGGTTTGATGAAGCTGTGCTTCTTGTTGTTCTATCAGGCTAGTCCTATCTTAAAATAGTGTGTCACTTGAATCAATTCCTCATATTAATATGGTGCTTTAGAATATCCTGACACTGTGATTGTTTATGTGACTTGTAAATTTTCTCCACCTCTTTGCACATTTCCAGGAAGAAGCAAAAGCTGTCGGTCAGCTCCGTAATCAGAGGTTGGCAAATTTACTTGGTTGTTGCTGTGAAGGTGATGAGAGATTGCTTGTTGCAGAATATATGCCCAACGAGACATTGGCAAAGCACCTATTCCATTGTAATTTTACTGAACTCGAATGATCTTATGGTTGTCTTGGTATTAGATATTTCGTTTATATCAAAAAATGCCTCATTTTCTATGGATATTCTAGATAATACCTTCTTCCACGTGAGAACGAATAACTTAATTTGTTGATTTTTGTACTAGGGCTAAATTTTATGCTTATTGGGCCCATGATTATAATTGGAATAGAAAGGGCTTTAACTGTCATGTGAGTTCACAAGCTATAATACTTTCCTACTCGTGACCAGTTGTTCTCTATACCTCGATGTCGCATTCTAGGTGCAGTATTAAGAACCACCCATATCATTCTCTGAAAGTTCTCATGGCTATTTTTTAGAGAAACTAACATAATTGTGTTGAATTTACTTAAAAGACTGTCTTCAATTTTTTACGACTTTCATTATCCTTCCTAGTTACATTCATTTGTCTATTGATCACCATATGATTTTGCAAATGAAATAAATGGCCAATGTAGGGGAAGCTCAACCCATGAAATGGGTGATGCGGTTGAGAGTGGCTTTGCATCTTGCGGAAGCTCTGGAATATTGTACTAGCAAAGGACGCACCCTTTACCATGATCTGAATGCATATAGAGTTCTTTTTGATGAAGTAAGTTCCTATTTCTCTTCCTACAACTAGAAACCAAAAAGTTGTCAATAGTGCTTTTGGTCTTACATATTGTTCTCCAGGAGGGCAACCCTAGACTTTCATGCTTTGGTCTTATGAAGAACAGTAGAGATGGAAAAAGTTATAGTACTAACTTGGCTTTCACTCCTCCCGAGTATCTGAGAACAGGTAAAATAATAATGAATATGATTTTTGCAGAAGTTGACGTACTTCTTTGTTTACTGTCTGTCAATCAATTTCCTTCTTCCACTTAATTTGTATTTGTCGGGGATATGAGTTTAGCCTTTGAGAACAGACTTGCTGTTATCAGCTTCCTATATCTTTCAATTAATTAACTTTTTCTTTTTGCATTGCCTGCTGGAACTGGAGTCTACCTAATACAAGTTTAGAACTACTAACAATAAACTGAACGCATCTATTTCAGCTGAATTGGATTTCTTTCTCCTGTTTTATGAGTCTGTATGCAAATGGTGTTTTGCTTTCCTGGAGCTTGGATGCTGCTCGTCTGATGGATGGAGTCAGAATTATTCCTGTTATACTGGTTCCGGGACTCATGGTTTCTTGGATTTGCTTTATTGATTCATTTGGGCTTTTGTCTCGTCTTTGGGTATTTTCACATCTGAGATTGTTATTAACAATTGTCAGGGCTCTAGCGCCCGCCCATAACAATTTCAATCATTGTCTCTGAGAGCTGTACTCAATTGGCTTTTGATGATTAATTGTGCTACCTCAAATGGGATTTCACATTCTGTGTTGTCTGTTTATCTGTGTTAATGGTTGCCATTAGATATTTATCTACATTTTGCTTTTGCTTGTTTTGTGCTAGATAATACCCACGCCACTTTTTTTGGCAGGACGAGTAACGCCAGAAAGTGTTACATATAGCTTTGGCACCCTTTTGCTGGACCTCATTAGTGGGAAACATATTCCTCCAAGCCGTGTAAGTTGACTTCTTTATATTATAATTCTATCGCATTGCTAGTTTAAGCTGACAGTACACTTCCTTAAGTTGAAAACATTAAGAACAACTGTAGACTTAGGACGGGGAAAGGTGCGTGCAAAATTACCAACAAGTGACATAGTTTAGCCATTGTCCTGGAGATTTTTTTTTGATGTAGGTTCCGTCCATGATTTACTAAGCAGCAAAGAGTGGAAAACATTCTCAAGTTAGTGTAAGGACATAGCAAATTGACGGGTGATTTTGAGTTTCCACTGACCTGTACACTCTGTAAAAATGGCTATTTTAGATCATTGACTGCTGTATGGGTATTGTAATTTTAAGTAACTTCAGGGTATGACATACATGGATGGTTGTCCCGAGGCGTTTATGAATGTAGTGATGAGTTTCCTGGCTCATGATGGTCACTTTTAAATTGATCTTCGAACTTTTGACTGTGGGATAGAACAGCCCATTGAGTATATAAGTGACTTTTTGTGAAGCATGGCAAACTTCCAAGCATGAAGACTAGAAATATCTGAACCATATCTAATAGCTAAAATAAATTTAATAAAGATTATTGCCATTTCATAACAATTTGTAAGACCAGCTTTTGGGCAGCATAAGGATCTGTCCTCTATACGGTAGTACTTTTCTCCTCGAGGTCTACAATTTGGAAGTTTTGTGGAGAACTTCTGGTTCTTATTTAAGGTTTTTCCTTTTTGTTTAGGCACTTGACCTAATAAGGGACAGGAATCTTGAGATGCTCACTGATTCTTGTTTGGAGGGTCAATTTATAAATGATGATGGGACAGAGCTTGTACGTGTAGCTACAAGATGTTTGCAAGCTGAGCCCCGAGAGCGGCCAAACCCGAAGTCATTAGTTGCTGCTTTGCTTCCTCTTCAAAAGGAGACTGAGGTATGTCATCAATAATACCTTGGCTAAGCACTTCTTATTTCCTCTGCTGTTTTTCGGTCAAAAAAATGTGATCAAAATGCATCCATGGGAGACAGTTGCTCATACCAGAGGCCTGACGGTAGCTGATGAATGATGAGGATGCTAGAGGCATTTTGGATTGCTGTGCACTTTTCGCTTTTGGGTTTTGAGTAACCAAATTTTCATGTTCCAAAAGATGGCACTAGGCTTTTTTTGTTTTCATAGAAACTTCCCGTCTAACTTCTGCCAGAAGGAGCTGATCATTTGCTTTGCAGGTTCCCTCACATGTACTGATGGGTATCCAGCATAGCACAGCATCTCTACCTCTATCTCCACTTGCTGAAGCTTGTGTAAGAAAGGATTTGACTGCTATACATGAGGTTTTGGAAAAGCTGGGGTATAAGGACGATGAAGGTGCAGCTACTGAGGTATGCTTCTATTGCTGTGCTTAAGATTTAGATTTAGGAAATATGAGGCGTTGGCACATGATCTCTTCCTAGTTTGTGGTCCATTTAATTTGTGGCCCATTTATTATGTACACTGACTTGGGTTTTGGTAGTTAGTTTTTATCATGACTTTAGCTTCGTATTTGAATGCTTTTGTATACTTTATTCTTATCATAATATCAGCATTCAATTAAGATTTCATTGTAGATAGTTGATCTATTTGGTATACTGTCATCATCATAATTTCACATCAATGCTTGGCATTGCCTTGTAAATGTTTAGGTTCAAAATATTTTTCCTGTTCTGGATGAGTGAGGATTGGTGACTTTGGTTCTTATAAAGTTCACATTAACTGTTGGTATGAAATGATTCTGTTAATGTCTAGTATGTAGCAATTTTGAGTCCTTTCGTGAATCCTAAGACGCCAATTTTCTACATCACTTAAATAAATTAATTTCACTGATGCACTAGGACTGAAGTCTGGCTCCTCTTTGTGAATGTGTATAGTTAGATGCACGTTTTCTCTTGCATGTTAAGTATTTGATTCTAAGAATTTTTGTCAATATTAAATGTTGTTCATATTGTTGATCTTCTGGCTTGCAGCTCTCTTTCCAGATGTGGACAAACCAAATGCAGGAAACACTGAACTCGAAAAAGAAAGGTGATGTTGCGTTCCGGCATAAAGATTTCAGCTCTGCGATTGAATGCTATAGTCAGGTTAGTATCGTCAACAATACTCTTGCTTGCTCATATCAAACTGCAAGCAACATAGATATCTCAAGTTATTTTGTTTCTGTCTTCTTTGAGTTAGTCCCCACTTAAAGTAAAACAGATATCGCTGCTGTGGGAAATTTAAGGTTTGAAGTTAATTAGGAAAATTAATAATTAAACTCTGGGATTGCAAAAAGAATCGCTGGAATGAAATGGAATTAATTTAACTACCAAAAACTATCTCAATGACATCAAAGCTGAGAATTGCAGATTCTCGTTAGTTGATACTACTGCTTCTGGTGTTAAAATGTGTTCAGACTGACATATTCACCCTCAGCTGACTGTCTTTCTATTTGCAGTTCATTGAAGTTGGAACAATGGTGTCCCCAACAGTGTATGCACGCCGCAGTCTATCTTACCTCATGACAGACTCGCCTGAAGAAGCGCTTAATGATGCAGTGCAGGCTCAAGTGATATCACCAGTCTGGCATATAGCCTCCTATTTACAAGCCGTGGCTCTTTTTGTGCTTGGTAGGGAGAATGAAGCACGTGTAGCACTTCATGAGGGATATGTCCTTGAAACTAAAAAGAACGGTTCTTGACAACAATTGGAACGAGTTGAAATGTGAATTGATTACCCCTTTCCAGATACTGTTCTTTGCCCAGAATTGGGCATCAGATGCTTGCAAAGGAATACGAGACTCTGAAGTTCCCAATACAAAACGAAACCCTGGAGTCAATCCTCCACATGGTTCTGGTTGTATATTTGGTTCATCAATTATGTTTCATTTGGTAGGTTAGGAGCCTTTTCTGACACTGGACTGGCAATTCCAATTGTTATGCTGAAGGCCAACCTGTGTACTGCAGCAGCAAGAGCATTTTCCCTTATGAGGAAAATTTTGTACTCAAATGCTATTTATGGTTTCTGTTAGGTGGAAATAATTGAGAGACAAGCGATTGGAGCATATTTTCAGAGGAGTTTGGAGTCTAAATGTGCATTAAGAGAATCGTAGGATATGCGGCCATGGTTGCAATTTCTGTACAGCAGAATCGTTCATTGACCTTATCTCTTTTGATTGGCTGGTTTAAACAGAGCATTGCCTTTGCCCTTTGACCTTACTATGAGATTATATTGGTTGTGCTGTTTCAAACAGACCATCTTGAAGTGTTGTGTTTTCATCTAAAGATTACGGTTGATATTATGACCAAACTGCACTAGAGCATGATCACCCTCCATTTCATCTACGCCTTCTTTTAATGTTGGGAAATGCATTTATAACTAGAAACTATATACACAGAACGGTAGTATTGGCCCTATTGGGCATGCTGTTTATGAACTACACACATCAGTATGTGCATGGTTATACTCCAGATATTTCCTGCTTATGCATCCTTCCCCTCTTGGCCAACCTGTCTGCACATTGATTCCATTCACGGTCAACATGTTTGATTCTGAAGTGCTGCACTTGCCTATGGAAAAAGCGCCAACGGTAGGGTAGAAGCACATTATCAGGTTTTGGATCATGACGAGCATCACTCTCTATTTCGGGATTCTGAATATCGTCAGAAACACTAAGTTCCCTTCCATCTTGCGAGGCCCAGGCTTCTGCAACCATAGCGGTAGTAGTGCCAATTTTCCCACTAAATTCTCTGAGCCAACATCCGAGACTGTCTCTGAGCACTCCAGTTCAGCACATCTATTGCTATAACTTTGAAGAATCCGATGTTAGTTATTTGTGGCATTCAGCAAAAAGTTTTGAAGGCCCAAGTAGTCTAGGATTTGCATACAATGGTTCTCCACCGTGGACAGATTTGCTTCCAAGCTAATCAAGATTCAAGGATTCTTAAGAAAGCTGAGTATTCACACCTACTCAGAAAGAATCTAGCAGTCTGCAAATTTCCCTGGTCTCAATTTGATCTTTTCTTTTTTAAATCAGAATTCCAACAATATCATCTTCCAAAAATAATCAAGCAATCATAATACAACCCCTGTTCATATACAAAAGGGAATCTTTAAACTAGCGATATTTCTACTATGTTCGCTGCTCTCGGCTATTTCCTTTAAGCTCGTCCAAGATTTTCTCCTCCTTTTGCTGGAAGCACCGGCAGTTGCTTCTGCATCTGCACTTTCAGGTTGAGTAGGCCTCTTGGCCCCTGATCTATTCCTCTTTTGCCTCTTCCCATCAAGCAAAGTCTTCGTCAATGGAGTTGAAGGACTGACTTTCTCAAGCGTCTCAACCTTAACTGCAGGTGAACTCATCTGGCTTGCTTCCTTGGTCTCATCCCCACGTCCACTTCCCATGGCTTGGCCGTAAGACACCGGAGGCACAAATTTTGCAGGTTTTGGTTGGGAAATTGATCTGGCTTTCATGGGATATAACTCTTTCATGTGGCCTTTGGCAGTACCTCGTTTCAGATTCCTATGTGAACAAAATTGGCACATGTATGCAACATTGTTCTGAGTTGAAGTGACGGGTTTCCTGTGCCGGCGCCATGTTTTTGCTCTATTCTTCTCAATCCGAATGGTGCAATTGTAGCCAGGTTGTAAAACAGTTTCGCATCTAACAAGCAAAAAAGTTGTTGAGTAGGTCAGGTACTTTAAGCCCACAAGATATCAACTCAAGAAGAAAGGCGGAGAGCGGATCACGCACGCCTGATAGACTGAGAAACACAAACTACAGCAGCAAGTACTTATCTAGACACTCCGCTCAGATATTCAACCTGCCGAGATCAAGAATACTAACTGGTGACATAAGAAAAACCTGATTTCCTGCTTTGATTTTACATAGATTAGGATATCTTGATGTTTCTCTTTTCAAGAACGGAATTAAGATACAAAGTTCAATCAGCAAGGAGTAGGACAGGCTGCAATGCGATGCTTGCAATATGGGCACACTTCATCACATTTTTTTGAATGAGAACAATAAGGGCATACCTTCGCTCAGCAATCAAATTTGATGGTTCATAATAAACACCTTTGGTATGACCTATGACTTTCGCATAATTGCATGGAAATGTGCTCAATGCAAGTGGTGGTGATGATGAATACTGTTCATAACTAATAATTCTACTATAGTCCTTCCGAGTGTAGAAACAATAACCTACGCAATGCGGTTTGGACATAGTCATATCTTTAAAAACACAGACATTCAAGACATGGAAGTGCAAACATACAAGTTAGGGGGACAAATTAGTGCCAGAAGCTACGTAGAACACATTTATTTGGAACTTTAGAAAAAAATCATTTTTTTTTTCTACATCCATTCTGTTGTTCAACATCATGTGCATATGTAACGGAAGTTGCCAATATCTTAGAAAGTGCCTTTGACACCATTCAGCTTTTACAGGAGGTTCCAGTTGAATTAATTTTCAAGTGAATCTACCAAAGAATAGCATGCTAAGCCTAGGGTAAGACTATAATCCTTGTCTGCCTTGGTTAAAAGTAACTCTACTACATCCAAAGATCTACACACATAATAATCATAGAATTTATGCCTCCAAGAAGTACGCAGGAGCTATGACACAGTACACCAAAACTTAGTCAAAAGAGTAACAAAAGTAAAAGCAGCCATGCTGAATAATATTCGGCTAAATAATATACCCACTGGGCTTAAGTCCTACGAAAGGAAGAGAAGGATCTTGAGAGACAATGGAGGTCCATAAACGGAAAAGACAAAAAGAAAGTGAGGTTCTTGAGAAATGGAGTGTCATCTTTCCATTTATTGTTCATCATCTCAAATTCATTAGACTCAGGAACCTAGGTTTGGAGCACTTGCTGATAATCATTCATATTTCCAAAAGCACCCGTCTATTCTACTACTTGCATTCCGCCATTTGCATCTGGGTTCCGTGCTTCAACCTATGCAGGAACTCCCCAACCGATAACTCAAATACAGTCAAATAACTAGCTGAAAAAGCAACTCACATCGTTCGATCTGCACACCATATTACGAGCACTAGATAGAATCATTACAGAATTTGTCCCAGCATCAAACCACCAGCTAGGGGGAGGGAGACATCAAAACAACAGTCATCTGTTTTCCAATTACTGGTATAAGCCTCCCTAACTGAAGTACAAAAGCACAATCAAAACCAATCATCCAACACAATCCCGCACGAACTTATCACTCGCACGGAGCTACGGAGCAAAAGCATAGCAACACCCGATGGGCCACAATCAATTCCATCACTCAAAAAATTTCATTGACGAAAAAGCTCAAACATTCATTAGCAAAAACTTTACTTCACAAATCTAACGTAAATAACAGGAAAAGAAACTTGAATTTAAGAACAAAGAAGCAACCTTTGGCAAGAAACAAGAGAAGGGTCGGGCGGAGCCCCCAGGGACTCCCCAACAGAGGCCAAACGGCGCCCGAAGAAGGCGCTCAGCGAGGGAACCGGAGCTTCTCGGCCGGTCCATTCCGCTAACTTCCGCAGGTGCTGGAGCTTCAAGATGGACTTGGGGTTAGCGGGAGCCCCGGTATTGCCGGGTTGCTTCAGACCGGTGGTCTCTTGTCTCAGCGTGATCGAACCGCCGCGCGACGCTGTCGGATTGGTGGGTCTTCCGCTTCCTCGTCTCTTGCCCATGCTTTTCTGACAGGAATTTAGCCGAGCACTTGGCGGGTGGTCTTCATGCTGCACTTAGTGAATTGAATTTATGCTTCCAACGGAGAGACCGCAGAGTTTCGCTAGAAAAGTAAAATGGCTTAATTCTCTAAGAAAGCCCAGCTTTTAGGTCCAGTTTCAATTTTACTCTGAATTTTTTGTTTTAGAAAAAAATCTCAAACTTTAGATCCAAATCTTCTCTAAACTTTTCTTTGTCTAAAAAAACTCTTAAATTTAGGTTTAGTCCCAAATCAAACTCGAGAGCAAAATCACCAATTTTTATTTTAATCTCAAATCAGCCCCAATAGTCCTCTGTCCAAAAATCGCCTTGCTGCTGAGGATTTATTATCGACGTGGAAATGCCTCTCATATTGGGACTGGACTACACATGTAGATTTGAGAATAGATTAGAAAAAACAAATTTCGAGATAAATTTGAGACTAGACTTAAAGTTTGGGATTGTTTCTGAGACAAAAAAAATATTTGGGGTAGAATTAAAATTAAACCTAATGTTGGGTGTTTTTGGAAGGGATAATGACATAAACAATCCCTAAACTTTGGCCCAACGTGCAATTTGGTCCATGAACTTTTAATTTGTTCAATGTAGTCCCTGAATTTTAAGCTAATGTTCAATGTAATCCCTGAACTTTTAATTTGTTCAATGTCATCCCTGAACTTTTGGTACATGTTCAATTTAGTCCCTGAACTATATGAAAATGTTCAATGTAATCCCTAAACTTGAATTAATGCCCAGCTTTTAGGTCTAGCTTCAATTTTGCCCTGAATTTTTTTTTTGTTTAGAAAAGAATCTCAAACTTTAGGTCCAAATCTTCCCTGAACCTTTCTTTGTCTAAAAAAACTCTTAAATTTAAGTTTAGTCCCAAATCTAACTCGAGAGCAAAATCACCAATTTTTTTTCTAATCCCAAACTAGCCCCAATAGTCATCTGTCCAAAAATTACCTTGCTGCTGAGGATTTATTATCGATGTGGAAATACCTCTTATGTTGGGACTAGACCACACATGTACATTCGAGAATAGATTAGAAAAAACAAATTTTGAGATAGATTTGAGATTAGACTTAAAGTTTGGGATTGTTTCTGAGATAAAAAAAATATTCGGTGTAGAATTGAAATGAAACCTAATGTTGGGTGTTTTTGGAATTAGGCCAAAGAAATTTAAGGACGTAAGCATGGAGAAAGACGGTGAATAATTTTTTTCTTTTTTTTTTTTGTAAAAGAAGAAGCAAATTTAGGAGAAAATTGAAAAAAAATTCAAGAAAGAGGGCCCAACCGGGTTCGAACCGGTGACCTCTTGATCTGCAGTCAAATGCTCTACCACTGAGCTATGGACCCCTTACGTGGCTATGAACTCCCGATTTATTTATATATATACAATGTTTCTTGCAATAAAATTAAATTTTGGGAGTGTATTCACATCGAATGTGGCAAGTTATTATCTTTTGACATTAGCGTTCCCATCAAAATAGTACCACGTCCGCAGGTCATGATTCGAATCAGGATCTCATTTGCATTTTTTCATATCACAATAGTTCACGAATGATTGCCACGTTAGTACGATAACTAGGTTGACATGACCATACATATGCATCAAATTTAGGGTTGGAAATTGATTATCTTAACACAAAGGTTCAGAGTCATCGACATTCAATTTAGACAAGTTCATTACATGGGATGGTAATCTCGTGAATTTCAAAATCAATCACAATATTTACATTAATCACATACATTTGACATTTGAATTATATATAAATAGATCCTCAAATCACAATCCGCAACATGGACCGGCAGCTCCATATTGAGCTCCTCTCATCGCCGAAATCATTAGACGCTTTTGAAATATGCATATTGTACATATGAACAATCATGCAGACGGTACAATGAACACACGAAAAATCCGATAATACTCACGTATATAGCCAAAAAAGGCGTCATGATAGATAAATTTCCCCTGTTTAATCAGTTCTCCGCAACTTCATCCTCATCATAATCCTCAACTTCATCAGCCACAGCATCCTGGTATTGCTGATACTCCGAGACCAAGTCGTTCATGTTGCTCTCGGCCTCGGTGAACTCCATCTCATCCATGCCCTCCCCTGTGTACCAGTGGAGGAAGGCCTTGCGCCGGAACATCACCGTGAACTGCTCCGACACGCGCCGGAACATCTCCTGGATCGACGTCGAGTTCCCCATGAATGTCGACGACATGCGCAGCCCCGTTGGCGGGATGTCGCACACGCTTGACTTCACATTGTTTGGGATCCACTCGACAAAGTAGGACGAGTTCTTGTTCTGGACATTGAGCATCTGCTCATCCACTTCTTTGGTGCTCATCTTGCCCCGGAACATGGCGGAGGCAGTCAGGTACCGGCCGTGCCTTGGGTCAGCAGCACACATCATATTCTTGGCATCCCACATCTGCTGCGTGAGCTCGGGGATTGTGAGGGCGCGGTACTGCTGTGAACCCCGGGAGGTCAGCGGGGCGAAACCCACCATGAAGAAGTGGAGGCGCGGGAATGGGATCAGGTTCACGGCGAGCTTGCGGAGGTCAGAGTTGAGCTGGCCCGGGAACCGGAGGCAGCAAGTGACGCCACTCATGGTGGTTGAGATCAAATGGTTGAGATCTCCAACTGTTTGTTACATGTGAATGTATACATTGCAACTGTCAGATTAGACCAGAACACAAGGGACATAACTAACAAAACTAACGAGCCACCCGAAATAGTAACTGATTTAAGCATTTTCAAACTCACAGCTTGGGTTTGTTAATTTGAGGGTCCGGAAGCAGATGTCGTAGAGGGCCTCGTTGTCAAGGACCATGCACTCGTCGGCGTTCTCGACGAGCTGGTGCACGGAGAGCGTGGCGTTGTACGGCTCGACCACGGTGTCGGATACCTTGGGTGAGGGGAAAACCGAGAAGGTCAGCATCATCCGGTCAGGGAACTCTTCTCGGATCTTGGAAATCAATAGCGTTCCCATCCCCGAGCCCGTCCCGCCTCCAAGGGAATGGCAAATCTGGAAGCCTGATTATGGAGGCATGTATGAACATTGAGGAACAGAACGATCTCTCTAGGCCTATAGATTTGACTCAAAAGAAACGACTAATGAGATCACAACTTATATATGTGTACCTTGAAGGCAATCACAATTTTCCGCTTCTTTACGGACAACGTCAAGGACCGAATCGATCAGTTCAGCCCCCTCGGTGTAATGTCCCTTGGCCCAGTTATTGCCGGCCCCGTTCTGGCCGAAGACAAAGTTGTCCGGCCTAAAGATCCTTCCGTATGGCCCGGTGCGCAGACTGTCCATAGTCCCCGGCTCGAGGTCCATCAGCACCGCCCGGGGGACATAGCGGCCCCCGCTTGCCTCGTTGTAGTACACATTTACTCTCTCGAGCTGAACATGGGAGTCGCCAGTGTAGTTCCCCACGGCATCGATGCCGTGCTCCTCGCACACGACCTCCCAGAACTTGCCGCCGATCTGGTTTCCGCATTGGCCGGCTTGGACATGGAGGATTTCTCTCATCTTGAACAAGATGAATTAGGCGAAATGGGAATCCTTCAAAAAGAGAATGTGGTATGGAATGAAATAGGATGGGTTCAGGGTTGGCCTTTTGTAGGGGCAAGAAGATAGGAATTAGAGATATTTGTGACACTGATATTTTTTCTAATATCATATAACATTACAAGAAATAAACAAAAAGTAGCTGCAAAATGATTATGAAATTGCGCCTTTTCTCTTCAGAGGAGATGTCAAAATCAGACAAAGAGTTCGTGAGCTGGATTGTTGGCAGAGACAGCAAGAACAGGGTTGCTACTTAAAATAATTGGACACCATCAATTTGAAATTTACCCAACATTTCTCATCTGTCAATCTGGTGTTCCAACAAAAACAGCACAACTTCCGTATTTGGCTCCAACCCCCTCCATGATTTCGTTTATTCTAGTTAGTGCGGTCCAAGTTGCATCATATCATATTCACTTTGCTGTCGAGGATGATCATCATTCCATATATACTAATTACACTAACCAATCACAGATAATTGACTCCTAATTAGTTTCTAATTTCCCACGTAGTGCCATTCTCAATAGCTTAAAGCAGTATTTTAAATTTGACATTCGCTAAATTTCTTGCGCAGCCCCGGGTGAAGTAAACTGAATGACGTGGTGTATTTTCGCCGAGACGATGACTCTTTGCCCATTGTGGTTCCGAAATCGAAAGCTGTCAATGAGGGACCTCTAAAGCCTCTTCATTTGGTTGCAAGTGGGTGTTGTTTGTATTGAGGAGATAAGGGAGGAAATAGTTAAATGAGCCAGAGATGTCAGAGAAGCCGAGGCAGAGGAGATGATTGTACTGGTACTACATGTGTTTGTAGGGATCATATTAGGTGCTTCCTCATTATAATTCGAGCGGTACGGATTGAGAAGTTGACAGAAGGATGGGGCTTGGAATCTTTAGATTATTGGAGGCATGTGAGTCCCCACTTGAGTCCGTCCTGTTTTCCCAATTGAAGTACTCTGGTTTGGCCGTGCCCCTCCAAAAATTCCTAGGTGAGGTGGTTGGCCAATTGGGTGCTCCATCGAGCCGATATGGATCCCACCAGGTTGAGTGGCGATCGAAATGATTGGCACGCACGCTGGATCTTGAACTAGGGCAAGCCTTCTAGGGTAAGCTTTACTGATGTTGTTGCTGGTGTTGGAGCATCCCTTTCATGGCATCAGCACAAAATGTGCAGATGACTCTGTAATAAAACCTCTGTGAGGTGGACATGGACTAACCTCCATGCTTGTTTTATCACCAAAATAGTGTTAGGGCGTTCCTTCCGACGCTTACACCGCACCTATCAAACCTATTTGGTGGATTTCGACGTGCAATTTTTCGCGCACCTATTTCCTCATGATTAATGCGCACCCATGAATCTGCTCGGGAGGCAATTTATGAGCACAGGACCCCCCCACAACATGTGGTCCCCCAAGTTCCCCTTGCACCGTCACCTTTGCAATTTGTGGGTGTTGCATATACAAGAATTGATGACATGACCCAGTCATGAGAAGATAGGACGAATATTTTCAAGTGAAATCACCTACAAGTTATATTCGTGGGTAAGATACTAGTTCGGTATACGCGATTGCTAATTCAGATCTAAGCAGAACTCGAATGATAAATTTGCTTAAAATCAAGTAAGAACCAAGCGAATCAGAGAAAGTTTTAATGTTCAGAGTTGGGTATGATCCGTGTAGCTGCAAATAAAAGAGCAAATTTTCTGGTGCAATGCTCACACACTGCTCATCTCATAGGTCATCTTACCAGTGTCTCACCATAGTCTCATGCAAATTAGTCCACAAGCTCTAGTTCTAAGCTTTGACCAAATCAATCAGAAGATGGGCACCGAAATTGTATCCGAAGACTAGCAGACCGTGCATAACTCAAACTCTGGATTTGCAGCGTCAATCCAAGAGTTCCGAGTACAGAAAAACCGGGGTCAACTGATTGTCCCCGCATTTTCCATTTTACATCTTCTACAGCTTCTGAGCCAATGTTTGCTTTGCATAACACAATCGCCGTCATGTCGATGGCAAAACAGCGGTCATGTCGATGGCAAAACAGCGGATCGCGTACATGTGCAAATGGTCTAAAGAAGGTACTCTTTAACATCGTCTTTCCACACAAATATGGAAAGAGAACCACAGATGGCATGAGCCGATGGAGGGCCAAAACAAAAACCTTTGCGTGGTTAAACTCTTTGAGACACCTTGTAAATAAAGAAGATACTGTCTAGGCTTATTCTAATAGACCGACAGAATCACATTGCAGAAACACTTTGACTATCATTAAACAGTGAAACATCTAAGAACTCTTCGAAACACCCAAATATCCGCATCTAGATTCAGTCATTTCATAATTTTTTAAAGTTTCACTAATATTCTAAGCCTTTGATGGGAAAGAGAGAAGAAAAGTAGTAGATAAATGCGCTAAAATTAGTAACCAGGGATAACTGTGTAAAAATTCATAAACCTATTATATAACGGCAAATTCAGTCATAAACCTTTCAATTGTACCAATATAATCCTAATTTTTTTTACGATTTACTAATTTATTCATTCCATCCAATTTCGACATGAAATTGGTGATGTGGATAGGCCGGCACTAAATTCAGACCTTTAATATGTTTGGCCGGTTCCCGGCCTACATTTTTTTTTTTTTGGTCGACCTGGCCTACATTAATCGGCAAGCTTTTGGTGGGATTCCAATGGTGACGTCCAATTTCCAAGTTATAAATCCTCCAACGTCCCAGGCGACCATGCCAATTCGGGGTTGGGACTTATTTGTTGAATATCAATGCACTCATTCTCTCTGTCAAGAGGAGTGCAAGCATCAAAGGTCGATCACTTCAAAATCAAAGCGTATTAGGGTTTCCGCGTTAAATCTCCTTCTTGAGGTTGTTTGTAACGGTATTAACGACCAAAGGACTCAGAAGATGGAGGAGGATGCGGAGTTAGGCCTCGAGCACATTAAAACAGTTGGTGGTACAGAAGTTCAGTAGCACACTTGCAGGCGGGCGAATCTGATATGAGATAAACCATTAAAAGCTACTACGCATAGATAGAGCTGGCAATTCACGTTGTGTTGTGTCGTGTGTCGAAATAGGGGTATGACTCGCATATGGATATGAATTGTACAGATTACTCCCCGAGAGACAATGAAACAAGAAGATCGACCATATAGTGCTGCTTCACCAAAATTTTCTAAAGTTCAAATTCACTTGTTCACTCGAATAAATTTTATTCAGGGGATACAATGATTGATATTGAAAAGAAATAAAAGATCAATGGAAACTGCATGAGAAGCCTCATGAGAAAAATTTTACATGATAACTTAATATGCCAATTGCTACATTTAAGACTACAAATAAAGGCCAGTCAGAAGATAAACACGCAAGGTTGAATCCAAAGGACTAGACACGAGCTTTGCAGAACCTGAAACCCGGGTGGTGCAGTAACTATCTAAAACTTCAGTACAATAACTCCTCGAAAACGGGATCGACTGATTGTCCCCATTTTCCATTGTACATCTCCAAAAGCTTCTCGGCTGGAGTCACCCCTGCATTAAACAATCATCCACAGTTGGTCACGATTCAGCTAATAATAATACATGTATTGCAAAGCCAGTGGTCTGGGCCTATCCACCATTACGGGACAAAGGCAACAACCGAGGGCCAACCAACTTTAGCCCATTTGATTAGACAGCCAGACTCAATCCCAGGCCTGTGCGCGTGAGTGCACACGTGAGAGAGAGAGAGAGAGAGAGAGAGAGAGAGAGAGAGAGAGAGAGAGCCCTTAAACAAGATGTATGACTGATCACATGGTTTAAGTGAAAGAAGAAAGCAAACAACATTTAATCTTCCCCAGATTTGATCTTTAACAGCTGGAAAACAAATGTTATAGAAAATGGATGTACAAAGTACCGTACTGAAGGGTGAATAAACAGTCACTTCACATGCAGTAACACAAGACATAAGTCCGTGGTCACCTTATCATTGTACTTTTTTTTTTTTGGTCGGAACCTTATCATTGTACTTTGCCAGTCCACAGGTAGCTTAAATATCCCAAAAGGTTAAAGATGCACTAGCATAGTTGACATTTGGGAGAACCAATCGTGTGAATCTAACCCACACAAGTTTGGATGTGCATGCATGCATATCTTTTTCTTGCTAAGCATATACATGCACATATCTAAGTATACTACATGGCACACGCAAATGACAGATAAGCTAGTCACCTGTTCTCACCACCTCTTTCACCTCATTCAAGAATCCCGACTCCTTATAGCCTCGTCTCTCCAAGCCATCCTGTAGAGAACAAATTATGCATCTGAAAGTGGCAAATGAAACAGCACTAACTGAGCAACAAGAAGTGCGCAAAAGATACCTTCGCCAACTGCACAACATATTCGGCAAGATGCCTCAAGTACCCATCTCGAAAAGGAGTTTTTAAACCAGTCTTTGGGACCTGTTAAATGAATATCAAGACAAATTTTAAACACGCTTATGGAACACTGTAGAAGGAGATTGGAAGTCGACATGAAAACTTGGATATAAAGTCAGGACACCGAGTTATTTGAAGGGAATGAAGAGTCGGAGTTAAATCTTTAAAACCAAAATATGTGCATTCATCATGTAATTTCAGGACAGGCAATGCAGGCCCATACAGTGAATCATGTACTAAAGCAGAAATACCAGCAAAATAGGGTTAGTCTAACGAACAAAGAGTACAGGCGAATAAATAGGTTGACATCCTGCAGTCAGAAGAGAAATGAGGCCACAGTTGCAACCAGTGCAAGAAGAGATTTGACTTCTAAGCCCTAGCAGTTTACTCCACTATAATTTTCTGCATAGGTGGTGGCGAGACAAAAAGAGAAGCAGGTTCCCAAATTCAGACAAATCACTGGCGTAACTTGATTAAGTAGGGTCTACCACCCTCCACTATCAGAACACGCACCTCCTTGCCAGATCATTTTCCCATATAACTCTCGTCTGACATTCATAGATGAAACGAGCCAAAGCTGGTGCCCAAGTACGCTTGTGCAATGGCAAGGATAAGCATGACACTATCTTACCTTATTTCTCAACATCT